CCGCCACTGCCGGGTGCACCCTCTGGGGCCCCCACCCAGCCCAGCTCAGCTCCAGCCACAGGCAAGGCTCCCAGAAGGCGGTGGCGTCACCACTATCTGGGCCAGGGCGGGGGGAACGCGGGGATGGGGGAGGGGAGGGCTGGGTCCGAGCTGGGCGCGCCTCCTGGATGCCTTTGGAATGCACACTTGCACTGACCCCGACAGAGGGCGGGAGGGGGGGCGTCAGTCCGGGTGCTGCCCCCTGCTGGCTCCATCAAGCCCGCGGGGTCCGAGGCCGGGGCGCTCAGCGCTCTGCACCGCCCCAGGAGGACGCGGCGGGGCAGCGGCGAGCCCTGCGGCAGCAGCTGCAACAAGTGCATCGGGAGAGGACCCGGCGGCTGCGGGCCCTCGGGGCCAGGTGAGGGGGAGGATGGGGAGGCTTATGGGGCGATCTTCCTCGAGAGGAAGAGAGAGGGAGAGCGAGAGGGAGAGCGAGCGAGATGGTTCTCTTTCTCGGACATCTGGAATAACCGGCCACTCTCTTTCAGGAACACCCAGAACTTCCAGCAGCTACTGTGGCCTCGCACTGAGGACCCTTTGCCAGGAGAGGAGCCCTCGCCCTTCGCAGCCCCATCTAGTCATTGCTGAATCCTCAAAGGGATGATTAAAGAGATGAGGATTAAAGAAAAAGCAAGTGCAGGTTAGAGGGAGTTCCAAGAAAGGCCCCGAACGCTGCCTCGGGGCCTGGGAGGGCCAGAAACACACACAGCAGCTCAGTCCCACTAGAAGGCGTGTTATTTCGTCTTCCCTCCCCTAACTCCACTGCCCGGCCAAGGTCAGAGAGCCAGGTCCCGGGGGTCAAGCAGTGCGAAGGCCCCATTCTTTCGGAAGAATGATTCGATGCGGCACATCTTACAGGAGACCAGTTCTTGCTTCACCGGGGGGCCTGGGAAAAAATGTCAGAGGCCAGGAATGATGGGTCCTGGGAAAGGGAACTTGGCCAGAGCATGGGAGCCCTGCCTTCCTAGCCCTAGGAATCTGCCTGTATTGTATCCACTTTGTATCCTTTGTGAAGGAATAAAAAGTGCTTCTGAGGAATGGGAGCTGTGGGCAAAGGAAGGAGCTGGCTGGGTGCCCAGATCAGCAGTGAGGGCAGAACCAGCCAGTCAGCCATGTGCCATTACTTCCCCCACCTCAGGGTCCTCTGCAGAGTGGGTGGTGGGACACCCAGCACTGCTTATCATAGGGACAGAGCTAAACGTCTCTGGGAGAGACAGGGCTTCCTTCTACCTCCTGTTCCCCTGGGACTTGCTTCCTGCTTTTGTTGGAAAACTCTTTCCTCTCCCTTTAGCACCCTGGGGAAAGTGGGGGGAATTTTTTAGGCAAAACGTCAACTGTGTTTATCCCAACCATCTACCTGTGGATGGCATTCAAGCCTGTGGAGAAAAACCCATGACTTTGTAGTCTCACTTGAAATTCATGACCACAAATAGCAAAGGGACGGACGCGGCGTCACCCAGCAATCCTGCAACACTCCCCGGTGTAGTCCCTTTCCCATGCCATAACTTCATCTCCCACTACACCGCTGTCTCCTCACTCTCTTCCCTGATGAGAAAAAGCCTCCCAGAAAAAGCAGACTCAGTCCAGATGGATAGCCTTCCCACCAAAACCGTCTCCCCTACCCTTCTCTCTGCCCCTGGCCTCTCCTGTCAGATTCCAGCATCTGGAGATCCCTGGAGAAGCTTGTCCCACCTCAGGCTTTAAATAGCACCTATATTCTGCTGCCCCCCCCAATGTGCACTTCAGCTCCGACCTCACTCCGGAGGGGGGACTTCCGTACACAGCCACTGCATTGGCACCTCCAGCATGGCCGGGGCTGATCTGTCTTCACACCCCCTCCAGCCCTGCTCCTCTGTCTTCCCTGTCCAGCTGCTTGAGCCAAACACCTGCGCTTCGCCATGGCTTTCTTTCTCCTTCTGTCATTCAATCCATCAGTAGGCTTCAGGGATTCTTCCTCCAAAACATAGCCTGAATCTACCTCAGCTCTACTGCTAATCACCCTAGCCCAAGCCATCATCCTCCCTGCCAGGATAACTCAAAATAGATGCAGACCTCATCTGCCAGAGCGGATTCTGTCTCTGAAAAAGCCATTACTTACAGAACAGTTAGTATCCTATCAGTACCATTCACCTGCTTAAAACTCTCCACGGCTTCCTCTCCCACTTGGGTTCCTCCATCGTGTCACTTAGCTTCCAGCCCTTAGGTCGGTCCTCCGAGACCCATCTAAAACGTCTCATGCCCCCTGCCCCTCTCTCCCATCACTCCCTAGTCTCGTCATGGAACCTGTCCTTCTCAGATGTTTCCTTTGTCTTATGTTTACGGCCTGGACCCCCCGCGAGAATGGACACCCCCATCCGTGTGTCTTGTGTGCCTAGGGCCGACAGCATGGCTTGGCTCATGGCAGGAGCTCCGTGTTTGTGAAGTGAATATTCTCTGGGAGGTTGGGGCTCACCCAGCTGCCAGCCGTATATGAAGTTGGTGGTGATGGGGAAGAGGTAGCGCATCTCTGGCACGTCCAGTTTTCGGGTGTTGAGGTAGCGGTAGCGCCCCTGGAAGTCGTGGGAGATGCCTTCGTACAGCAGGGCCCGGGTGGCAGGCAGTACCGGATACATTTCGGACTGAATGGGCGTCTCCAGGGGAGGGCCGGGGGTCTTGGAAGGCACCGCTTTGGGGGCAGGTGGGGGCGAGAGTGGGGCTTTGGGGTGCAGGGTGGGCAGCGCGAGGGGTAGGCGGGCTGCAGCCTTAGCCTTCTGCTTGGCCTTCACCGTCGACCCGTACTTGCGGTGCCATTCACAGCGAAACATCTTCTCCCTCAGATATTCCTCCTTCCAGAAGTTCTGCTGCAGCGTATCCATGTTGAGTTGCCGCGACATGGTAGCAAGGGCAGGAGAGGTAGCAGGGTGGCTGCAGCTGAGGGGTGAACACAGGAGGCAGAGTCCTTCGGACAGCAGGTGGCTGCCACGGACAGTCACCCGGCAACCAGGCCTCACCTCACATAGGGCCAGGGTTCTATTTGCCATGCCCTTAGCAGACCACAAGCAGACCTTGATCCACAGGCAGCCTCAGGCCAGGGCCCGCCGGAGAAAGGCCTGGATATCCAAACCTCTTGCGGGATCCGGGCTCAGTCTCGTATCACAGGCCTTTAGGTTTCCTGTGTTTCTGCTTCCAGCCCCTTGGGGTCAGGTCCCCTCCCAGCCCAATAGAGACTGAAGTGGGGGAGCCAGAGGCCTGGACACAAGCCTCCTCCCGCTCCTCCCCACCAGAGCTGGTCACTTGATTCAGAGGACCCATCCCTGAGTTATGACCTCCTGGAACAATCTTCCTGGTGCAACTCTTCTATGCCTATATCTTTGGCAGAAGCTTTTCCAGCCCTGCCAGTCGAATCTCCCCAACAGCCTCATCCCACGCGTGTCCTTTCTAGCACCCAGCCTCAGTTTGGAGAGAAACAATAACGTTACTTTAATTTAACATCAACAATGACACCGTGTAACAGCACAGGGAAGAGGTGGTGGAGAGAAGACACTCAGGCTTCCTGTTCCCTAACCAGCCTTGGCTTTAATGGCAGAGCCCCAGCAACCTGGAAGCAGCTCACCTAGCCTCTTAATGGAGTGGGCAGGGGCACGGGAATTGGAAATCAGAGGCTCAAAACTCACAGAAGGACTGAGGGCAAGCCTGGGGAGGAGCTGCCTGGCTGTAGGGAGGGCCCTAGCGCAGGTCTTCGGCTGTGAACATGCCCCGGGCCCGGCGCAGGATGGAGTCCTTGGCAGCATCATAGGGGTGCTCCTTGGACGGGATCTCCAGGACGGCTGGGATGGAGCGCTGGTGGGCGTCGAGCGCGTGCCGCACCATCTCTGCGATGTACTGGTTGATGAGGATAATGCCGATGTCATCCCGGTTTAGAAACTGCCTGTTGGGAGAAATGAGAAGGGAGCCCACTCCGAGGTGGTGAGGCCGGGTGGCGGAGGCAAATGTGCTTGACCCAGCGAGTGCAGAGGCCAAGGGCAAAGGTTGCTAGACCGAACTCTCTCCATTCTAACCAGAACCAACTTCACTCAAAATCTAGGAGCCCTGGCTGTCAGGGGTAACTTCCACCTCCCCTGCTTGGAAGGCTCCCAAGTGAGCTGGTGCTGAAGATTAGGGCACAGGCTGATGTGACCTGTACGCTGCGTTTGTGGGAAAAAGAGAGAGGATAAGTATATGTCTGTCCATAGTATGTACATTTAAAAAAGCAGGAAGATAAGGAATTAAGTGCTTCCAGGGGCAGAGAAGGGAGGTAAGGAAGTGGAAATAGATGGGGGTAGGAGTGAGACTTCTCAATATGTATACCTTTGAAATATTAATTTGCAAACCACACGAATACCTTAACTTTTCAAAGGAAAACAATTTCTTTAAAGGGGCTGATGAGACCACTAAAGGCCTTAAGGTCTATGCTGAAGTTTGGCATGAGCTAAGAATACAACATAGGAAGAGGAAAATCATCCTTTCCCCACAGAGAGGACCTAGCACTGGGATCTTCCTTTCTTGTAATCACCCAGGCATTAATATATTAAAAACGACTGGGACGCCTGGATAGCTTAGTCAGTTAAGCAACCGATTCTCGGTTTCAGTTCAGGTCATGATCTCACAGTTTGTGGGATGGAGCCCTGTGTTGTGCTCTGTGCTGACACTGCAGGGCCTGCTTGGGATCCTCTCTCTCTCTCTCTCTCTCTCTGTCTCCCTCCCTCCCTCCCCTGCTCACACACTGAGCTCCCTCTCTCTCAAAATAAATAAACATTAAAAAAATATATATCTATATATAAAACTATTTTTGCTGAGCACTTGCCCTGTGCCAGGCACAAGGGCCAGTTAGACTTGATGACTGATCTCTGGGTCCCTTTGGATGGAAACATGGAATGGTCTTGGAGTAAAATCTGTCCTTCTCCTATGACAACTTGGGTCACTTTACCAGAATGCTTAGAGATCAGGCCAGTTCAGGGCCTATCATCCCCAGGCAGCAGGATCCAGTCTCAGCCAGCAGCTCAAGGCTGGACTGTTTAGGGGAAAACAGGTGAGAGTGGTTTGTTCCTAAGACTTGGCAACAGGGGCCTTAGAGAAGGGGTGAGAAAGCACAGGGGGCTGGCATCCTCGTTTCAAGTCACCAGGACACCTCCTGAGTTAAGGGACATGCCCACATCCACACTATGAAGCTATCACTCTTGACCCAGAGTAGGAAATGAGGATTTCAAATGCAAGGTCTTTTTGCTAAATTCACTTATTCTGGTGGCTTTTTAAAAAGATTCTTTAAAAACAGTTTTTTTTTTTAATTTTATTTTTGAGAGGGAGAGAGAGAGAGAAAACGAACAAGTCGGGGAAGGGCAGAGAGCGAGGGAAACAAAATCTGAAGCAGGCTCCAGACTCTGAACTGTCAGCACAGAGCTCCATGTGGGGCTCGAACACACGAACCGGGAGATCATGACCTGAGCCGAAGTCGGACGCTCAATTGACTAAGCCACCCAGGCACAACCCCCCCCCTTTTTTTTAATTTCATTTATTTTTGAGAGAGAGAGAGAGAGACAGAGTGCAAGTCGGGGAGGGGAAAAGATTCTTATATTCTCTGTACTGATCATGCCATAAGCACATGAAGTTTTTCGTCTTTTGATTAAAAAAAAAAAGGCAAGGTCTTAGCACAAAGTAGGATACAGTCCTAATATTCTGCAGGCTATGCTCAGGACAATGGGAAATTCCAAGACTGAAGAGTGTGGACCTGGCTTAAGAGAGTTGGGCCTAGGGTTCAAATCTCCACTCCCTCTCTTCCAAATGGTGTGACTTTGGAATGTGCCTTAACCTCTCTGAGCTTTAGTTTTCCCACTTGTACGTGGGAATAATAACCCCTACCTTACAGGATGATTGTGAGCCTCTGAAGGGCATGAAAATACAAGAAACCCCGACCCCACTGCCTAGGTGTTCGCTCAGTGTGTGGTTCCTTTAGGGGTCAACTCCCAAAAGAGCTGAGGCAGGTCCCAGGGGCCGGTTGGGCCGAGGGGCGGCGCCTGTCACGAGCTCTGTTCCCCTTCTTTCCTGACACACAGTCATATGAGGGATGAGCTCGTGGACCTGACATAACCCGGGTCCCCCGGAGTGCAGAAAGAGAACTTGGGGCACAGAGGCCTCCCCCGGAAGGGCGGCCGGACCGACTTCCTTGACCCTCGAGGGCAGGGTCTGGAAGCCCCTCTCAGGCCCCGACTGCCGGGTCTCCGAGCTGCCCCCACCTATTCCCCTCGCTCCGACCCGAAGCAGAGGGACCCATTCAGGCCTCACGGGCTACCGTACCGGAAAGTGTCTTCGATCTCATTGATGGTTGTATCCTTCTCCACCACCAGGAAATTAGGGTGGCGGTTCTTGTTAAGCTCCCCTATGCCGCCCAGGAGGAAGCCAGTAACTGTGTCCTCGTCTCCGATCACCGCAATTAGCTTCCCCCTACCCGCCATTCTCACAGACAGGTAGAGCTCAGTAGAGACAGCCTGAAGTCCCCGAAGCCCCACCCCCGCAGTGCGCCGCCTTTTCAAGCGCACCTCCACCCTTTAGACATGCGCAGCTCACCACTCCGCCTCCGGGACATGCGTATTAATAGAAAACACGGCCTCAATCTGAATACGCCTGCGCCGTAAAGAGAGGCCGGAACCTGGGGACTACGAGTCCCAGAAGGACGTGCGGCACCACGGACTCACGCAGGCGCGTTCCATCGCTCGTTCAGTAAACCTGTTGAACCTAACGCTGTTAGACCCTGAGACCTCAGAAGAAAACACGTGGTTTCTGTTTTCGAGGGTAAGGTCCGAGCCTGAACCGTGCACGTAAGTCTTTATGGCACACAGTTAACGACCAGTACATATTTGCTTAGATAAAAGATTGAACAAGTTAATGGTGACACTGACTAGGGAGGTAGGGTTTCAAGTGAACAGGCAGTTACAAAGCGGTTGGTTAATGCTAAAATATGAGAAGTACACGGAAGCATCCACTGAAGGTGTAACTAACCCACAGAGGGGTGGGGGAAGGGTGCTCAAAGAAGGTCGCCAGAAGGATGCAGGGGATAGAAATAAGGACAAGAGAGTGTTCTAGGTAAGAGGAACAGCATATGCAAAGGCTTAGTGACTAGAGAGCACGAGTGCCCTCAAGAAGAGTTAAAGAATCTGGAAGTTATCCTGAGGACAAATTATCCTGAAGCCACTGGAAAATGGTGTCCTGAGGCAGGTGTTCTAGAGCTAGTGCTGTCCCGGTGTTGTGTGCAGAGGCAAGACTGCAGGAGGATACCACTGTGGTAAGAGATAATGGTGGCCAGAACTCAGGCTGTGATAATGGGAATGTGGAGATGGAGTCAAGAGATACTTAGAGACAGAATGGGCAAAACTGGTTTTCAGATTGGATGTATTTGGGGAGTGAGAGACCCAGGTGACCCCTGGCTTTCTGGCCATTGCAACTGGGTGGATGGCAGTAACATTCCTGAGAGAGTAAGCTCTGTGAAATACAGACTGAAAGAGAAAGGTCCAGCTTTCCTCCTCCATTTTAACAAACAGGCATCCTGGTGTTCAGCATGTGGTTTGTGAGTTTAGAGTGCTTGAAACCTCCAGATGGTCTCATCTAGTGGTTATTTGTATGATTGGCTTGGGATTTGGGCACACCTGGTTTGAATCTTGGCCCCACTATTTAGAGGCATGATTTTTGGGTTTATCAGCAAAATTTTCAAGGCCTTGAGTTCTTCAGATAATAGTATGCCCACCTGATAGGGCTGTTGGGATTAAGTGAGATAGAGCCCTTAAATGTTCAGCACCCAGGGCCATACTGTGGTTGGGGAAGAGCAGCTGGATGTCTGTAGACACACAGGTGGAAGGCAGCTGATGCTGAGGAGGCCAGCAGGCCATCTGGGAAAGTGCTCACATCTGGAGTTAGTGGGGAGGGAGGGCAGAGAATGAGGAAGGGTGGGTGTAGAACCACCCGATTTAGTGCCTGGCACAGAACTGGCCCACAATGGTCACAGATGGCAGGGTACTTAAGAAAATGGATCCTGCCTTTAGTGGTTATAACAGGTGAAGTGAGGAGCTGGGTACATTTATCATTCAACCAGCGTTTATCACATGTGGCCCTGAAGAGGCTGAGGACGCAAGATAAAGTATGATTTCTGTTCTCAAGGAGCTCCCTGCAGGATGGAGGGGAGGGTGAAAAAAATATCACGGGGAGGAGGTCAGACATACAATAAAGAGAGGCCCTGGTGGGGCACCTGGGTGGCTCAGCCAGTTAAGTGTCTCACTCAAGTCATGGTCTAGCGGTTCGTGGGTTAGAGCCCCATGTCAGGCTCTGCACTGGTGGTGCGGAGCCTGCTTAGGATTCTCTCTCTCTCTCCCCCTTTCTCTCTGCCCCTCCTGCATGCTCGTTCACTTGCTCTCTCGAAAGAAAGAAATTAAAAAAAATAAAGAGGCCCTGGAGGGGCCTTAAGGGGGCAGGATTCAGAGCAAGGAGGAGGAAAGGAAAGAAGAAACTTGAAAAGGAGCAAGGAGGCACATAGGCTACCGAGTAGAGCGGCGAGGAGGGTAGTTCAGAGCTGGGCCACCACTGTGTGCTGAAATGTCCAGGACAGGTCTAGAGGTGAGGGATCAATTGAGTGAAATGCTTCTTTGCTCTGCTCTAGCTACTGAGTTACTCATTTGTCACACCTGTCTGTATTAGACCTTCCAGGGTCAGGGAGCCCAGGCTCGTGGGGAAGAGGGTCTGTAGACACAAGGTCACAGATCAGTGTGATAACACAGGCATAGATGTCCCCCTGAGATGGTTTGGGAGCTGGGGGGCAAATCCAGGAGGGGCAGAGAGGGGGCCAGGAAGATGAGGAGAGTGGAGAGGCAAGGGTGTTGCCAGGCACTGGCCCAGACTGCCTCGTGGGTGCCCAGGAAGCTAGAAGCTGTGAGAGTTCGAAGCGGAGGGTATGGTGGAGAGAGGGCACACTGACTCAGGACTTCTTGCGTGAACAGGTTGGGGAAGCTGGTGTGTGAATCTTCTACCAAGGCCTTGGTAGAAGAGTAGATGTTACCCTGGAACAGGAGGGAGCTGTGGACTGGCCTCAAGCCAGAGAGGGGCAGATTCCTATAATGTGAGCCTCTCAGGCTGCAGTGTGCAGGGTGGGCCGGGATGGCTAAGGGGAGGGGCTGGCAGGCCAGTGAGACTAGTTAAGAGGCTAGTGGGCCAGGGAGATTAGTGGGCCAGGAAGGCTAAGTGACAAGGCTGTAGGGCCAGGAAGACTAGTTCAGAGGTTGGTGACCAGAGAGGCCAAGTGAAGTGACTTTTAGGCCAGGGAAGCTAGTAAAAGGCTAATGGGCCAGGGAAACTAGTTAAGCACTGGTGGAACAGGGAGACTAGTTAAGGGGCTGGTGGGCCAGGGAGGGTAAATGAACAGATTGCTTGGCCATGGAGACAAGTGAAGAATCTGGTGGACCTGGGGGGCCAGTTAAGAGGCCAGTGAATCAGGGAAGTTAAGTTTAGAGGCTGGCAGAGCAGAGAGTCTAAGGGAAGGGGCTGTCGAGCCCAGAAGGCTAGTTCAGAGGTGGTAGCCAGGGAAGCCAAGAGAAGAGCCTGGTGGGTAAGTGAAGAGGCTGGTGGGATAGAGAGACTAGTTTAGATGCTGATGGGCCAAAAAGTCTAGTCTAAGAGCTGGTAGGACAGATACTAGTGAAGAGGCCAGTGGGCCATGGAGACTGGTTAAGAGGCTGATGGGTCAGGGAGACTAGTTCAGAGGTTTGCAGGCCAGGGAGGCTAGTGAAGATGCTGGTAGGCCAGGGAGAATAGTGACTATGCTGATGGGCCAAGAAGGCTAGTTACAAATAAGGTACTTGTGAGGGGGCTGGCAGTTAGGGAGACTAAGAGGCTGGTGGGCCAGGGGGGCTAAGGGAGGAGGCTTGTGAACTAAGGAGGCTAAGGGAGGAGGCTGTGGGCCTGGGAGACCAGGTAAGAAGCTGGTGGCTGGGGAGGCTATGAGAAGAGGCTGGTGGGTCAGAGAGGAGGCTAAGGGAAGAGGCAAGGGCCCTCAAGACTTGTCAGTGGCCCGAGGGCCAGGGAGACTAGTTCAGAGGTTTGCAGGTGGGGGAGAACAGATAAGCTGGCGGACCAGGGAGACTAGTTAAGAGGCCAGGGGAGCTAACTGAAGAGGTGGTGGGCCTAGGAGATGAGTTCAGAGGTTTGTGGGCCAGGAAGGTAAGGAAAGAGATCAGGCTAGGGTGACTAGTTAGGGGCTGGTTTAGGTTGGGGTCCTGAGCAAGGTCCGAACTGCTGGTGGGGCCAGAGCAGGTCCAGATCTGACCCTGGACTTAGCTGGATTAAACGTTCCAGGGTTTGCGTGGAATTCTGCCTGCCTGCTGGGTGAGGAACATTCCTGTTGGAGTCTGTGCTGTTTTAAGGACCTAATTTGTTGAGAGTCGGAGGTCAGGCTAAAGGGAAGCCTGCCAGTAGTCACAGGGCAGTCTTCCAGAACACAGTGTTCACCTCCCTCTCCCACCCACCAGCTCTCTAGGAGTCTGAGAACCAGTCCTTGGTTCTTTCAGGTATTTCACCAAGATCCCAGGCCTTACCAAATACATGGTGGCCACCCATAGAAAGCACATGCACAAGAACAGCCAAGCCTCTGCGACAGGCCAAACTTTATTTGGAGTTTTCCACTTACGCGACTCCCAGCAGAGCCGCATGACATGTGCAAAAGTCTCCCCAGAAAGCTGGGCCTCGCAGTGTGTAAAAAAGGCCCCCCATGGGGCAGAGCTGTGCAACCGTAAAAAAAAAAAAAAAAAAGAGAGAGGGAGAAAGAAAGCAGTCCTCCAGGAAGCCTGGCTGGGGCAGATATAAATCGCTGTGGGCCAGGCCACGTGCCAGCGCTGCTGCTGGTTCTGGGTCTGTTTTCTCCTCCGATTGTGCTTTCTTTTCCAAGTCCTTAACACTCTGGGGTCGTGGCCACCAGAGGGGCCAGACACAGTCCTTAGCAGCAAGGTGGTCTGGCCGGCAGTGCGGTTTGAGGGTGCCCTCTCTCACACACGCAGACACCCCCAAACACATGCTTCCCCACTGGCCTCAGCCCTCCCCCAGCCCACCTTCGTGTCACATTCACGGGAGGAACACTGCCCTGAGACAGACAAAGCCCTCCAACCCCTGGGGGCATGGCAGGGTGGGGAGGCTAGGCCGTTCACTTCACACCCCAGGGCAGGTGTTTGTGGTATCTGATTCTGTGCGTGTGCATCTAGGTGTGGTACGTGTGTTTGTGTATGTGTGTGTGTGTGTGTGTGTGTGTGTGAGTGCATTGGCCGGAGGTGGGGGCTGAGGCTGGGGGAGGCACTTCAGGGATTCAGGGCACGTTGACTTTGAAGGGGCTTCCGGGAACACTTTCGTCGCCCCACTTGACAATGAGGATGTAGTCCCCTTTCTCCTTGACGGTGTAGGTGACATTGTAGACCCGGTTCCCCATGTGCTTCACGTACACCTCCTCACAGGGGGTCTTGGGCCCATGCACGCCCACCATCATCATGTTGGTGCCTGGAGGGGGAGACGGAAGGGGCTGGCTCACACCAGGGGCCCACAGCCCCATGGTGCCCCCCACCTGCCATGTTCTTGTGCACTTGCCCACTCTAGGAAACCACCCTCTCCTCCCTTGGCATGCCTGCTTTGCTGCAGTCCACGGTGAAGGAGTTCTTCTGGCCCACAAAGGCCTGGGACAGCCCAGGGCCCCGTGTCACCACCTTGCTGGCATCCGAGGAGAACTTGGGGATGGAGCTGTAGCTGGAGCCACGGCTTGAGGAGGATTTGGTCACGGTCTCCACCAGAACTGTGGATGTTTCATGAAGGCTGTGGCCTCCAGACAGCCGGGGACCTGAGGGACAGCGTGGGGTAAACACAAGCTGGGTCAGAGGCCTGCCTTCCTGAGGCAGCAGGCCCTCAGCCAGCACCAACAGCCCTGTGGGCCACATCCCTTCCCCGCTGCAGCACCCAGAATTCCTAGTGAGCCCGGCTGTGCACACATCCTGAGACCCTGGGCCTCTGATGGCTCCAGCCCTGGCACGGTCTGGGAACTCAAGTCCCAGGGTTAAGAGTCTTGCTTTAAAAAGGAACATATATCCAACTGATCCTTCACACTGCTTCCAAAAGTAAAGCTTGCCAAATGTTTACTGAGCTTTGTGTTTTAGGAAACCAGAAACATATGAAGAAAGTTAAGCTAAAGCTTGGGAGCCACTGCAGGGAAAAATTAATCACGTGACAGACAACAGTAAAGAAGAAGGACTTGATTTTCAAAAATGATTCTCCGTGGTTCCACAGAATGGTGTGCCGTGCAAGGTCAGGCCCACTTTATTCCTGGTAAGCTGTCCGTGGATTTTAGGTCAGACTATGACTGAATATGAATGGCTGCTGGAGTCATCCAAGCTGGGTTGAGCTGCAGGCTGGGCTGGAGGGATGTCCCCCACCCCGGCCACTCACCTGAGACTTTGGCCTTGAAGGGGCTGCCCACGATGTGCTGGGGGCCACCGTACTTGATGGCAATGAGGTAGTTGCCAGGAGCCATGGGAGTGTAAGTGACAACATGGCCCTCAGGACACTCCCGACAGTCCAGCTGCACCTTGGAGGGGCCATCGATGGTGACAGACAAGGCCCCTGAGCCCGCATTCAGGGTGTTGACAATGAACTCTGATGACACGCCTAGGGACCAGAGGTAGCAAGGCGGTAGGTTGGGCCCTAGGCTCCGAGAACAGACCTCTGCAATGACTCAGCCTTCTGGGACAGGGCAGTACAGGACCAGAAGCTGAGTGCCCCAATATCGGACCCTCCTCCCTAGCCCCAGGCACTCACCAGTAGTGCCTCCCTCAAGTCCAGGACCATAAGCTGACACCAAGCCTGGGTCCCCAGCCTGGCTCTGTTCCCCAACGCGGATCTTGAAGGGACTGCCAGGGATGTGGGCACCGTTGAACTTGACATCAATAGAGTGGACGCCGTTCTCGTGGGGGATGAAGCGGATGGTGTGCTTGTCTGTGGGGCGGAGGGTTGGTGAGTGAGCCTTTGTTCTTCCCCTCCCCGTCCCAGAAGGGCCTGGCATGGGTGGGCAAGGCCAGGGTCAGCTCACCGCTGTCCAGCTCAGAGACGTAGCACTCCTCCACCGCACCCGAGGGCGTGTGCACCCTTGCATCAATCACACCCCGAGCACCATTCAGCTGCACCGCAAAGGACGCCGGCTGGTTCACCTTGAGCCCTGTTTCCTGCAGAGGCCACAGCCAGTGCTCAGAATCCTGGGAGGGTCTGGAGCACTGCTGTCTGCAGCCTGACACTGATCCCAACCCCAGCCTGGCCCGGCTCAGGGAGGCTCTCACCAAGGCTCCCTTGGGAGGGGAGGGGGAGGCAGGGGCTGGGCCTATGGCCTTGGCATCTGCTAGGAGGTGGGCCCACTTGGCTGTGCTGGGCACAGTGGAGGATGACATGATGTATCCTGTCCTGACTAAAGAGATAAGATTCAAACACTATAAAGCAGGTCAGTGCCCAGAGGCGGAAGGGTGTGGCCTAGACTGCCCTGGGGAGGCTCCCTGGAGGAGGTGAGTCACTGGGGAGGACTTGAAGAAGCACAAGGAGGCCAATGGGGGTGGGAGTGTGAGAAGATGATCCTGGGGTGAGGCATGGCGCCCCCTGCTATACGGATACTGGGAAAGAGGGAGAGACATCTGCCTGACTGTCTCTTCCAAGGTCACTGCTAAGCCCTGGACACATGGACCTGCCTTCACCTCCTGCCTATCTCTCAGGATGGCAGAGGGGCCCCACCCCATGGCAGATACCTGGAGGCTGGTGACAGTGAGGCGGCGAGCATCATCTGAGAGGGAGGCCACAGGTACCACAAAAGGGCTATCTGGTATGTGTTCATCATTGAACTTGATGGAGACCTCATAGTCACCTGGGAAGAGAAGGCTGATCAGGACAGGCTCCTTGGGCCAGGGCTCAGGTCTGGAGACAGACTCGCACTCCCAGGGGTGTGGGGTGGAGGAAGATGGGGTAGAGAAAGAGCAGGGGCCCAGGTGAAGCCGGAGTTCTGTAGCCCATCTCTCTGCTCTGGTCAGCGAGCAGAAACCCAGTCTGGAAGGTCAGGCAGGCCCAGCTCCCACCTCCATCATGGACACCCACCTGGTTCCTGGACAACATAGGAGACCCCACAGGAGCCATCTTTTCGGTCCTCAAATGAAATCTCCGCCTTGCTGGGACCCTCCACGGCAATAGACAGGCCTCCAGCACCAGCTTCTCGGGTCCAAATGCTGAATTCAGCTGGGGACAGGGAAGCAGGGCAGAGGCAGTTCTTTAGCACGACTGCCCATCCTGCCAGCTGCCCTGCCCCCACCCCCTCTCCTGGACACCTGCCCCTCACCTGGCACACCGGCCACACCTCGCTCCAGTCCTGTGCCTCCAGCCCGCACTTTGTGGGCACCACCTTCACCCAGCGGCCCCACAGTGAACTGAAAGGGACTGCCAGGTACATGCTGGCCGCGGTACTTGACGGTGACTGTATGGGGCCCCATTTCCTGGGGCACAAAACGCACACTGTACGCGCTGTCTTCTCCCTCGACAATCTCTGCGGCTTCCATCTTGCCCGATGGGCTGGTCACCTGTGCAGTCATGTCCTGGGAACTGGCCTCCCCTGCAGGAGGTGGGATGGTTAGGCTGACGCTGGGGCTGCCCCCAGCCTTGGACCTTCCCTCCCTCCCTCAGTAAGACCCCTCCCCTTCCCAAAACACCCTGGCCAGTTGCCCGTGCCCTCCCCATCCTGTCCCAGGGGACAGAAGGCCCAGCCTCCCTGTGAGGACCCTGGCCCAGCATGGCCCTGCTTACCCTCCTGCTGCCGGGTGATGCTGCCAAAGGAGCCCAGGCGCTCCCGGCCCAAGAAGTCCCCGAAGACCGCGGGGAAGGGGTCTCCACCAACCTGGGTGGACTCCTCTACCCGCACCTCACGCTTGGTCTCTCCGCCGCGCGTCTTGCTGATCTCCGTGCGTTCTGTGCGGGTGTATGTGTGGCTGCTGCGTGTGAAGGTGCGCGTCAGGCGCTCCTGGGCAGACACCATCTGGAACCAGTTCCCTGTGGGGCACGGAGCAGTGGAGGTGAGTGTGCCGGAAGGACGGGGCCCCGTGGGGTAGGCTCTGGGCCCGCTGCCCTCCCCCGAGCCCTGCCAGGCTGTTCCTGGCTCCTACCTGGGATCTTGAGATTGAGGTCACAGGTGCTGCCAATGGTGGCAATGGAAGGTGCCTGTCTCCGCCGCGTGATGCTTTCCTTCATGCGACCCTCACCGGTAACCTTCACAGTGAACGGGCTTCCTGGAGGGGGAGAGGCGGGGGGAGCGGATGGCTCAGACACCGGCCTCCCGGCCTTTCCCTGCCCAGCTGTGGCCCAAAGCTTACCAGGCACGTGCTTGTCAGCAAATTTGATGTTGATGATGTAGGTGCCAGGCTCAGTGGGGCAGTAGGTGACTTTGCATGTGCCATCTTCCATGTCCTCACAGTTGATGTCCACCTTGCTAGGGCCTTCAATACTCAACCCCAGGCCCCCGTAACCTGGCAGGAAGCAAAGGACACGTGTCCCTCAGGCCCTGCCACCCTGCTCTTCCCGCCCCCCCACTACAGGCTCTGTCTGGACCAGGCACCCAGCATGTATAACCACCAATGAAAGCTGGCTCTGTGGGAGGAGGGGTAAGCCAGACACTGAACCAGACAGTCCGGGATGGGCAGTATGGAAAATTCCCCCAGGTGGGCCTCTTGGGTTCCAGTGAGTGAGGGACAGTCAGAAACTTAAGAGAGCTGAACTTTCTCTTAACATTTAAGAGAAATGACCTGGAACATGTGCTTTCCCTCAAATGGACCCCAGAATGGGAAGTCCAGGGAGGAGGCGATGACTAAGGGCTGCTGGGCAGGAAAGTTCAAGTCCTTGTTGGAAGCACCAGCCAAAACAAGGGGTTTCTGGGGCGAGAAGCACCTGCGTTGCGAGTGTCCACGATGAACTCCGCCACCTGGAAGGTGTGTCCCTCGGACAGGCCCTTGCCCCAGACCCGCACCTTGCTGGCATCTCCGATCTCAGATGGCCCCACCAGGATCTTGAAGGGGCTGTTGGTGACATGCTTGCCACTTTTGCGCACGCTTACCACGTGCTCCCCAACCTCCTTCGGGGTGAAGGAGATGCCTGTGGAAAGGGGGGTGGTCAGGCATGGTGCCCAAGGCCTGGCAGAGCACCCCTTCCCAGCTCCTTTCAGGTCTTGCTCTTCCTGAGGCCCCTCCCCACAGCCCCACACTCACCAATGTGCCTGTTGGGCAGGCGCTTCAATAGGCAGGGCTCCTCGTTGCCTGAGGGGGCGCGGATGCTGGCAGTCAGCAGGCTCAGGTCACTCTCCGTGATCTTCAGTGACACATCCGTGGAGGTGCCCACATTGAGCTGTGATGTCCTCATCGAGTCATCGCCTGGTGGGGGAGTTTGACATGTCAGGCGGTTAGGACTCCAGGTAGCGTGTTCTCATGGGGCTCAGGAGACTTCCTGGCAGACCCCGCTGGACTCCACAGACCTGCCCACCCAAGGGGCAGAGAGGCCGAAGGCCCAAGAGAGCCTGGTCTTCATTCACGTGTTAGCTGCCAAAGCTTCCAGACGGGCCCCCTACCCCAGCTGCCTTGTGGATGCCTCCGGCCCAAATGGGATAAATCCCTAATCTGTATATTTTAATCGCAAGTCACACAGTTTCATGGAACCAAAACACTAGACCGGTCGGCACGGATCCCTTACTTGCTATGTGGCTCTGATCAAGTTGCTTAGCCTCTCTGGGCCTACCAATCTATCAAGGAGGTTTATCAGTATCCTAACTTCATTAAGAGTTACTCCAAACACTGAGATGATGTATTTCAAAGCCTGAGGGGTGGATATTTCTCACCTGCTACAGGGAATGGAATGTTCCTGATATTTGTACAAAAATGCCCTCTTCCACCCAGAGGGGCCCCTACGCTAACAACCCTTGATTACTTGAACACACTGGTCTTGCACATCCATCGTGTGCTGGGGGCGTATACTGGAGGCCTGGGTGCCTACTTCCACCTCACCTGTGATCTTGGCCGTGAAGGGGCTTCCTGGGATGTGCTTGTCATCAAAGCGCACGATGATGCTGTAGTCTCCAGGCGCTGTGGGTAAGTAGGATACGGTGCAGGTGCCATCCTTGTTGTCCTTGCAGGTGATCTCTGCCTTGGATGGGCCCTCCACAGCCAGGGACAGGCCCCCTGTAGGGGGAGGTGGGGCTGAGATCAGAGGTCCTGCCCTCATCCCTGCATCTGGCCTCCTACTCCAGCCCTCTGCCTACAGCTCCCCTCACCTTCCCCAGCATCCTTGGTGACAATGGTGAAGGTGGCCGGCTTGTTGACCATGCCATGGCTCAGGCCTGGCCCATAAGCACTCACATGGCGGCTATTGATGGCATCCACATAAAACTGCAGGGGGCTTCCTGAAGGAAACAGAGAAAGGGGACTGGGTCAGTAGTGAAGACGGGAACTGCTTGAGCCCAGCACGGTCCCAAGTGCCTTCCTGTGGCTTCCCTGTCTGCTGTGGGGGTCTGTCTGATGGAAGCCTGCCTCCCACCGAGACACCAGCCTCCCCAGGGCCTGGGGGTGTGTGCTGTGTCTGCACACAGCAGGTGCACAGTGAATATTTGTCAAAAGAAGGCAGGCAAGAATGAAGTCACTGTGGGTTCCTCTCAGCCTGGCCCCAACTTACCAGGGATGTGGTTGCCGTCATACTTGATCCCCATCTGGTGCAGGCCTTTCTCGGTGGGTGCATACCTCACCGTGATGGTTCCATCCTTATTGTCGGTGATGTTGGGCCGGGCTGTTTTCCCAGAGGGCATCCGTACCTCCCCTGCCAGGGAACACATTTATGTAGGGGACCCTGTTTATCCTACCACAGCCCACCCTTTCCCTGCTGTCCCAGGCACCATGAGGTAGCCTGGAGCAGTGAGATGAAGCCCGAACTGGGACACACAAGGCTCAAGTCTTAATTGCAGCCCTGCCCAACTTGCTGTGTAACCCTGGGTAGCTCACTTCCCCCCTCTGGCCTGGAAGAAGTCCCCACTCTGAGCTCTCCTGCCTTGGGGCCCCCGGACAGTACCTGTGAGTTCCCCTTTCTGCACGGTGAAGGGGATGACCAGGTTGAAGGGCCTAAGCATGGACTCCATTGGCTCTACAGGCACCACTGGCTCCTCTGTGGCCTGGGGCAGGGGAGAGGAACAGTCATTGGCTGGGGAAGGCCTGGGGAGCTTGGCCTGAGTCACAATTGAAGTCAGAGATAGGAAAGAACAAGATGGTTAATGGTGAAACCAGAGTGGCAGGAGAGGTGTGTCAGCTGCAAGAGAAGAGGTGCCGTGCTCAGCTCAGGGATGTGTCTGCCCAGCCTGACTCCCGCCTGCTCCCCAAGATGGCCCCCAGACCATGCCCCAACCCTGGCCACTGAGGATCAGAAGGAAGAAATGAAGGAGCAGGAGGAGGGTGATGCGTGGGAGGCGGCAGTACCCAGTGTGTGGGGTAGGTGCCGGGCCGGTGCGGCTGCAGCACATCGGGAGGCTCCTCCACGTGGGGCATGGGGTCACACGCCTGGGAGACAAGGCACGGGAGAGCATGGCTTGTTACCCGGTAGGCCAGTTCATGCCAGCTCGAGTGAGTGAGAGCGGACTCAGAGAATGGCCCAGAGATCTGAAATCTCAGCCTGCCCGTGAGGCAGTATGAATAATTTGAGTGCTTTGCCCTCTAGAGGGCTTCATCGTCCCGCAGGGCCACCTTGGGGGCATGTATAGGGACAGTGGGCCTGAGGATCAGAGAAGAACATGGCAAGTTCCTCCAGAGAGAGCCGACCAACCACTGGAGGGGCCAGAAAACGGGCTGTGCTCAACTCCCAAGTTGGGAGGCTGTGGGAAATCAATGGCTTGACTCTGGAACACTCTGGGCCCAGAATCTATCAGGTGTGCGGACAGGTTCGTGATTCCTTGCCGCTGCTAAGAGGGCCCATCTCCCCAGCCAGTGTCCAGGGCCTTGGAACTTACCAGCACGTGGAAGGGGCTGTTGGGGATGTGCTCGCCTCCAAAGCGGATGGTGATGACGTACTTGCCCGGCTCGGGCGCTGTATAGTAGATGTCAAAGGTACCATCGTGGTTCTCAACCACATCCACGTCGAGCTCCGCCCCATCCGGAGTGGATACCGTGCATGTCACCTTCCCCTTGCCTGCCGCCTTGGCGTCCACCGTGATCACTGTCTCCTCCCCGATCTGGATGCGGGGTCCCAAGCAGGCACCTGCCACCCAGAAGAGCCAAGCCAGGTTGAAGGTCTCTGGGGGCTGTGCTCAGTCCCTCTCCATTCCCAGCTGCCCCTGCCACCTCAGCCCACAGTGAGAAGAGAAGAAAAAGGGCACTCACCCAGGCCATGGCCTCCAATGGACACTGGAAACAGAGAAGAGTGTGAGGCCACGTAGCTGGTGAGAGG